ATGTCCCTTCTCCATTTATTATTATGTTAGATTGCATTATTAAGAGCTTTTATATTTAAACACTATGAGCCTTCCTACCGGCTTGCGTTTAAATCTCATGAAAGTATAAAGCTGCAGGACAGCACAATCCCGTCCATATATACATTTATAGAGAGCTTGTTATTAGTTTCAGCACCTGCTGGAGTTTGATGAGCATGTGCAATGCTCCAGTACAATTTGTGCAGGTTGTAACGGCAAAGAATTGTTCACAACAATGAAATTAGTGAATGGAATCAACATTTCCCCTGTCCAATCATTTCACAAAACATTTGCAGCCTTTGGTATGTGCAACACTGCTTTAACTCAACAACCCTTAACACTAGGAAAGAGACTGAAAAAACCCCTAGAATTGATAGACACATAAAACAAGTGTGTTTGTAGAAGGATTATTGTGACTTCTTCAAATGGACATCTTACCTTGCTAACCTTTTAGATTTCTTTGCAAGTGTCAACAAATATTTACACACAGATAGTCTGATGGATAATGGCAATTTGGATTTTCACAAAGTCCTTCCAAAGGCCTTTTTAAAAAAGCTTCTAAGTGAACCTAGAAATTGTTGTATACAACAGCTTGCCTTATTATGGATCAGCAGCTGGTTAAAAGATAGGAAGCAGGTGAAAGAAAGAAGGGGACTGTGCTTATTGGCCTGTGTGTGGCTAGCTGGATGAGAAGTTGGGTGGACTTGGTTTGGAAAAGGGAGCAAAGCTCTCCAGTGAACCTGGCTGGCACTCGGTTCAGGACAAACATAAGGAAATTAGTTCTTCATTCAGTGTATGTCTACTATACAGGATTAATTGCTGTAAGATGTCCACTTGCTTAGACAGTTGAAAAGAGAGAGAGAAATACATAGAAGATAAAGCAGTATGCCTATGCCCTTGCAATAAATAGTAGGGATTAGCGATTTCCCTTGCTTGGGTGTCTAGCCCAGGGGTTGGTAAACTTTTTCGCCAGTGGGCCGGATAGCCTGTGCGCGGGAGCACACGCACCTGTGCGCATGTGCACACGCCCACTGCTCTTCCCCCGCTGGCTTTCGGAGCAATGGCGGAGGAAGAGGAGGCGTCTGTGGGTTCCTGTTGGAATCACTTTCTGATAATGCAAAAGCACACTGCCTGATAAAGCACATTCACAGCCACACCTTAGCCGCTCTGAGGAAAATCCCTTCCATAGATACAACTTCTGTCGTGGTGTGGCGTTCAAATCTACTGTGCTGTCTCCCCTGTTTTGGAAGGCTTATGTTCAGTTGTCTGTGAGGCAACTAAAAATATACATACATCAAGAACAGGTTGTGGCCAGCAACTCTCAGACAACACTCCCTGATCTCAAACAAGTTCCAACTTCTGAGTAGATGTTTTCCATTCTGAGTTGTTGTATCACCTCCATCTGCTAGGTTTCATTTTTGAACACTGGCAGACAGCCACAAGTTGTGCTATGCATAAACCATTCATTCATGCTGTGAAGATGGCCCTGTTGTGGATCTTGCTGCTATCAGAGGTCAAAATGATGGGCAGCAAAAGCAGGCCTTTTTCAGGAGTGGTGTCCTCTACTTGGAACTCTACCCCCTAGGAGTTTTGTCCAGCTAAGGCACCTTTAGCATGCAAAAAGCTGATTAAAAAACTCTTTCTTTCATAGGGCTTTTGATCTTTCAACATTTTGTGATTTTAAGCCTTCACCATTTTATCTCTGCACTGCATGTTATGATTAAAACTGTTGTTTAAAAAAATTGTTTGCATATTATATTAATGTTTTGTTATCATATTTGTGAGTTAGGTTAATGGCATGATTTTGGCTGAAAGCTCGGCTAGAAATTTAAAATTGCAAACATACATAAATTAGAAATGGAGGTGCTGGGTTGCATCCAAATAACGTCACATGAAAGTTCCATCACACAAGGATTTCTGCTTGTGCAATGAAACACCCTTCTTTTCTCGTCTCCTGCACTTCCCCAATCTGTTCTAGGGGTTGCCCTGACCCTCTGGAGCAGATTTAGGGAATGCACAGGCTGTGCTGGGCAAGGGGGGGGGGGGAGAGAACAGAAAGTCCTATTGCTAAAATGGAAATATTGCACTCTTTCACTATTCCTTTCCTGAATATTAATTGAATAGAATTGTCCATATGAGATATACCTTTACAACGTTGTAATGTTAACAAATAATAACAATTACTAAATTGGTAAAATGAGAACTGTAACTCATTTGGCCTGCTACAGAACCAGATAATCCCACATTAATTTGTAATACATTTTTTTTTTAATAGCCAAGATGTAGGTCTAAGGAAATCTTACTTAAAAGGTTGCCATGGTGAAAAAGAGGAGCCTGCTAAATATGCAGAGTTTTTCCAGCTAGGAACTCTGAGACACTGCTTGATTTTGGTTTTATCTGTCACGGCTAATTTCTCATTTTATTGAAAAAGTTGTCAAAATGCAAAGTATGTTGAATGCATGCATCAGGTACATTTCAAATCTTACAGATGCAATCAAGTAACTTCTCAAACAATTCAAATCCTCTGCTATTTCTCCTTGCCAAACCCCTTCTCCTATTTCTAACTTTTTGTTATTTGCAAAATTTCTCAGCACTACTGATAAATCATGTCCTCAAAGACCATGTGCAATAGTAATCTTAACTGATACTTTGCTAGGTAGCCATTGTTGCTATTACAATGTCATTGTTGTGAACTGCCCTGAGATCAATGGGTATAGGGCAGTACACAAATTTAATAAATAATAAATAATTGAAATGCTGTCAAGTAATATTGAATTTTTGTGATATCTTCGTTATGAATTTGACACACGTATTGTATTTTATTATTTTGGCTGCAATGTGAAGTAGCTGTTATTGTTGTGAATAACGCAAGCTTGTTTTCAGAACAGCATCATGCAAATATTAAATCTAGGGCCAGGTTAGTTTTTTTAAATTTCTGACCTTAAATCTAGAGTGACATGTGGCCACAGAAACCTCCAGCAAATGGCCTATATTCATGCTTTCATTGGCTACATTGTGAATGCTGGAAAAGTGTGCCTGACTGGGTGAAATTGGCTCTGTGGACTCTTGGTGCCCTAGGACAGCAATTTTGCAGAAATGCATACCATGCTAAAAGACTAACATTTCTGAATAGTGGATGAGAAGGGGAGTTCTATGAACTCCACCGCCATTGGACATTGAACAATGACCAAAAAGGCACAGAAAACTCATTCCACACTGATGCTTCCAACTATTAGCTGGTACAGACTGGTAAACGTATCTGGGTAGAAGCACGACTGCATTAAATTAATGGCCCACTCTGTTTTTTTTTTTAATATGGTCATAGATCCAACAACTGCTGCTCCAAAAGTTGTGGGGTTACATGGAGATTGTCATATGTGAGTGCCCAGCCCCCGTACCACGATTTTAGTAGGTTGCGAGTGGAAGAGCCTTAATCCTGCCCCCCCCCCCCAATAAATGCAGCAAGTTTTAAATACAGCATTTAAGACAACCACCAAACAAACAGAAAACCCTCTGGAATTCATCAGGAGCAAGTTTCCCAACTTTTTTTTTGTTCCCCATGATATATTTCAAACCTATTGCTTTTTGAATTATTTAGACTTATTTCTTACAGAAAATGATTAAACTTCTAGTGTCAATAGCTTCCTGCCAGGCTAGTTCTAGTAAATTTTTATCTCACCGGTTGTTAAAAGTGTTTTCTATATAAAGATTATTAAAAAGTGTATTTAACTGCATTCCTTCGACAGATAGCCATTTTTAATGATGGCTTTCTTTTTCTTTCTTTAAAATGTCCTTTTCCAACTGAAGGGGGGAAATGACTAACATTTCCCTCCCTCAGTGTATGGAGGACTAAGGAGCCAAGGAATAAAAATTGGGAGATAGCTATACAAAACATCAACTTCTTACAGTGTAAACCATCTCTGTAGTTTTTGAATAAAAAAATAAAATATTCACCCCTTTTAAGTAGAATAACGGTAGCAAGTCTGCGGCCATATCCATTTTCAACATAACACGAGTAATTTCCGAGGTCTCCTTCTTCCACTGAGTCAAGAATTAATGAGATGGAAACTTCCTGTTCCCCGAGATGTTCCTTAAGAACTCTGTGAAAGAAAAAATCAGTTTGGTTTTTCCTTCCATATATAATGTTGTTTACACTACATCGCATTGAAAGATGATCCTGATGTGATGTTTCTCAGAAATGAAAGCAGCCTGGTTTCAAATTTGGTTATGGTTTGATGCAATCTTAATTAAATTATATAATGCCTTTTTCTTCTTCACTGTTAATGAGGACATTTGGTTCTGCAGATACTAATAAGAGCTGCAATTAATTTGACATCTTTAAGCATACCCTGATAAGATATCAAGGGGTTGTGCACAAATTATTCGTAAAAGGTTTACATGCTCTTTAAATAATATTTTAGAAAGATTTCTTGAAATTATGGTATATAAAGCAGGTGTTGAAAAAAAAGGATTATCTGATTGATCTGACACCAGGAGTGCAATCCTGCACATGTCTCTATGGAAATATTGAATTCAGTGGCACTTACTCTCTTTTGCTTCCCTTCTTGGTAAACTAGGGTACTGCTATGTTAAAAGAAATTTTATTTTTAGATGTTTCTCCATTGCTCTCATGCCACACATAGAACCCCAAATGTGCCCCCTCTTTCATTGCAAATAAATTCAGCTATATCCACAGAGGATGAATGTAAGCACTTTGGGTTTAAAAAACATGTAAAGATAACCTGCCAGCCCTTGTTTTCCTTTACCATTTTAAACAACAAAGCAAATAAAACATTTCATACTCCCTGCTCAACAAAGAAAAAGAATACAAACAGTTCAGGGTCCTTCTGAACATACTCAAAATCACCAGACCCACAAACCAGTGAAAATCCATGACTCAATTTTTTTTTTTTTAAAGGCCTCAGAGTATGTAGGTGTACATCTTTGGGAAAGCTTTAGATAAGAAATGCAACATGTCGGCTGTTCATGTAATATTCTATATGAGAGCTGAGCTTTGTATGCTTGTGTTGAAATATGGTAGACCTTAACATATTATTATTTAGCCTAACTGGAGATAATAGAAGCTTCTTCTACATACTTTTGTACAGCCTCAAAATCTGCATTTTTTCATTTAAAAGAAAATTGTTGAACTTGAGCTTTCAGAGATAACTCTGTACATGTAAAAGAACACATCTTTTATGCCAGTCCCAGAGTGCACCATGTGGAAAAGCAGGCCTGCAATGCTTTAGTGCATTTTAAAAATAAATGTCTATAGCATCCTTCACCTAGCACTTAATTCACTAAAGAATTGCAGATTAGTCTTGACAAAATATATACAATTTCCTCACTTTACCTAATATCACTTTCCCAAACCCGACTTTCATCCAAATCTTCAATAAACTTTTCGCCTTTCATCCAGTACATTAAAGGGCTGACTTCTCCACTGTATCCAAAGAAAGCTCGGCAGGTTAGATTAGCAGAATGGCCTGTTGAAAAGAATTAATAAAGAAAACATGTTATTCCAAAACTGGCGAAAATGATTTATTTTATTATCAGCAGCTAAGTAATGTTTCCCCATACAGAACCTGAAAGAGCATAGCTTGAAAGCTGACCTTAGCATTCGTAACTTTGAAGAAGCAATTTTTACTCAAATATTGTCAAACTATTGACAGACACATTATCTAGTGCGGAATATAGATCTACTAGTTACAAAAGAATAGAGGCTAATCTTAGTCCTTGAACTAAGATTATCCACAGGCAGCTAACCACAGACAGATTAAGTATATGGTCTTCTTTCAAAGCATTGATTTTCCAAATATGGGATGGCCACAGAATTCATACACTATGCCTCTACAATACACAGAACCCAAGGATCATACAATTAATGTTTTCCCTTAGAAAGTGATTTATCATACTACAGATGAGAATCCTGCAGGCTGCATTAAATTAATGTGGCCCTCAGCCCACCTCTTTCTGTTCCCCCATACCTCTGCGCAACCACCAACACTCTTGTTAGTATCATACAATCCAACCACAGAGCATGATACATAAAGTGTCATTATGGTTTTTGAAGTGCACATGCTCTTTGGTTGGCTTCAGTTATGTGGCCCCAAAACACTTTCCTCTTGGGCAGCAGCGGCGCTTCATGCTCCGGCACCGGGGGTGGAGAGCAGGCAGGGGCGGGGCTCGCGTGCATCCTGGGGGCATGGCACGCCACCTGCGGGGGCGTGGCACCCAGCGCGGGTGGGGGAGCAGCCACGATGGCATCCCACTGGGATTGCACTGCTGGGGGCGGTGCGCTCCCCCCCACTCCTTTTCCTCCACCAGTGCATAGCTGTAAACTTTTCCCTTTTCTTGCGAGGAATCCTATTCAGAATAAGGGAATTTCCCTTAAAAAAAGTTGACAGCTATGCACCAGTGCTCTGGGGGAATGTGGCCCTTGGTGCTCAAAATGTTGTTGCATCCCATCGTCAAAGTATTACGGGCAGTCACTTAGACCTTATTTTCCATTTCTCATTCTATATCACTGAAGCAATAATACTGTTTGAGGCAAGCACTACGAGCTCCCAAGGACTTGTATTTCTAAATCCATAAGTGTTAAGTTTCAGCACCATCACAATATACAACAGAAAAAGATTACTGGTATCAGAAAAGCACTAGATCTAAAATGTCCCAAAGGTAAACTAAATGATACAAAGTACACACACACATAAAATTCAGACCAGCATAACCATGACTATCTAAAACAATAACGTGCCGGTGTATGGAATGCTGAAAAACTTGTTAAATAGGTTGCCCTGAATGATGACTGACATCTTTTGGGAAAAGAAGCCATTTCCACTCTGCAAAACACTCACCCATCATTAGATGTTATATTACAATGGCTTCACTTTAGATATTTTAGGTGAACATGTAAAAATATAGTGTGAATGTGACGAATGGGATAGACATGCATCATAATTGTGCATTTGTTGCAGGATCATCAGTTGATGTCAAATCTTGACTTGCTGCTGTGCAATGGCTGCAATGACCATGAGCGTTACTTTTAGCGGATGGAGTGCATCTTGGAATCAAGTATCCCTCAAAAGAAAGGAAGAAGGCCTCCTTCTGTTTTCCCATGCCACCAGCCTCACAACTTTTCCTTTGAGTACTTTCCACCCAGCATCGCTCACCTGTTGATATCTAATCAGTGTACAGACTAAGCTAGCTGGACTGCAGGCCAAGTTATCCCTTAATCACCAACCTCATGCTCATGGGGGTACTGAGCCATGAAAGCCTGCTGAGCTTTTCCAGCCAGAATGAAGCAACCTGCTGAGATGGAACTTCACACTCAGAGGGTTCCGTCAACCATTTACAGGTGCATATTAATGTGTGCATGGTGATCTTTTAAAAGGATCTCCTGAATCAACAAGGAAGGGGGAGGGAGCTAATGTCAAAAAGACAAACCTCAGAAAAAGAACTCTCTTCTCATTAAATTAATGGGGATTTCCCCTCCTGGATGAAATATTTAAGTGTATTTTTAAAGATGGAATTCAAAGTTTCTGTTAAATATGAAATATTTACGCCTGGGAAATAAATTAAGAAAGAAGCACCATCTCCCAGCAATATTGTACAGATTACTGCTGAGCAAGGGCCATTAATATGCCAGGTGTTCCACTATAAATTAATACCGAGGCTGCGGCTGCTGTATAATCTATACTTTCCAGGCTGGCTGAGCTTGACAATAAACTATCGAGAAGGTCAGTGGTGGGTCATGCAGGCAGGATCTTTGTGACTAGCTACTACTGCTGTTACTGATGTCCTTGTTTGTTACTTTGAGCTAATAGCACAAGGAATAGGGGGTGTTGGTTCTTGCTTTGGGAAGTGCAGTTTCTTATTTAACAAGGCTATATGTACTCCCAAAAGTGAATCTGTTGCTTTCACTGGAATTCACACACACGTGCATCATGCCACTTGTTGATGAGATACAAAAACATTGCAGACATCAGAAGGTTATTAATAAAAAAAATTGGGATGTAATGCGCACCAATCTTTCTTCATATTATTTCCCATATGTGTGTATTAGTAAGTGCAGATTGAGCTTACTGCCAGTTAAGTGTGCATTCCACTGAAAAATGCAGCCTCAGCCATTGTTTCACACACATGTTTCTAGCTCTCTGCCCTGGGCTCATCTATCCTGGATTATAGGAAGCAACCATCAAGGATCATCTATATTATGGGGTGTGGGTGGGAATGGGATCAGTATTCTTCAGAACCAAGACCCACATTTAATGCAAAAATGCATTTTGGAACCCCCCCCCCTTTAATCATATATTTGCATGGTGGTAATGCTGCTGTTATGACCCACGATCCAGCTGTGGGTCCAAACCCACCATTTGAAGATCAATGGTCTGGAGATAAACTTATTCAGTTTATTCCGCCCCCCAGATCTAAGAACAACTCTAGCAAGATTCACTTCTTCATGCTTTAGCCAATCTTTGAGGTTCCTTCAGATTTTTAAATGGCAGGTAATTCATAGAGAGCCTTAAGCAATTATTGCTTTTGCAAATGCATTTTTGAGCTAAGCTTTGAACATCTGGTCTAAAAATGATGCAATTTGGACAATGACTAGGCACATTATGACTCCCGTGAACAACCACATATTTCGCTTCTTGCAGATGCAATATCATTGCACCTCAACGTTTACAGCCTTGTAAAGAGCTTAACTTTACAGTTGCAATAAAGATATATTTTGTGCCTCTTCCCTCCTACCCCGTAATTTGCTGCATCATGGTCTGAAATCTCAACTTTCTCCATGAGCCCATAAGTGGGTGCTTCCTAATTCATGCCCCAACAACATCTTAAGACAAGTTCAGCAATATATAAATGACCATGCGGTGCTGAAGCCAATATAAAATATTGAGATGTAAGTGGGTAAGTGATGGATAATAAAAACCGGTTTCCTTATGTTGTAAAGTATAATCACACTTTACCTGAACAAACTAGCAGTACCAACAAACACATTTCAAAGATAAACATACTCTTTCCTTGCTCAAGTTTATTTATTTAAACTGGGGGAAAATCAGGCTAATCTAGACAACATGATTATGCAGACTCCAGTGATAAAGATGCACTTTCTGTTCCAGCTAATTGGATTCAGGCAGAGGCTTTAATCAAAAAGCTTCTCTGTGATTTAAAATGAGAGTTTTTCTTGTTATGTAGCCTGGTTTCAAAGCGAACAGAATGTGAGGAGGACCTTAGAGCATCAGAGGGTGTTTGCTTGAAGACAGCCAATAGCATCAGCAATGACAACATTTGGTCTCACTGCTGTATTTCTCTAATTAGTAAAATGCTGGGCATTTCCAGGTTGCTGTTGTGGCACCTTTTCTCCACTAGAGGACAGTGCCTATCCTTCCAATGACCAAAACATTTATTTTTAATCCATAGAGATTGTCTGGTATATAAGCTCTTAATTAAAAACACCAGCATTCGAATAAGCTGCTAGTTGTAATTAGCAAACAGAGAATGTTTTGTGCTTGAGTAAAATGTCATATTGTATGGACAGCTTATATTTCATTTGCAGCATTAGTCATACATGTTAGAATATCCTGCAATGACATCCATGTTCGTCTCTTATTTGTGAAGGCTCGTCACTGAAGGATGTCTATTTCTTTTGGAAGCAGCAGTAATTAGCAGAATAGCTAGGCAGTTTAAATAAACCCTCAAAGAGACTTTTTGTGATTTGGAATCCTGGGCAGTTTTACCCAGGCCTAATAATATGCATAAACTTGGAATACAGAAAAAAACACAGAAAATCTAAAAGAAAATTAAAAGAAAAATAATTTGGTAATGCTAATGTATCACAATGCACAGGTATGAAGGCAAACTCATATCCAATGGCAATACTAGATTGTATAAAGAGATTCTGCCAAGTCTGACAGGAATAAAACATTTCCCTCCCACACGTTTGCTCACATTCTTTTTCTTCAGTATGAGAAGAAAGAAATGAGGTGTAAAAGGAAGAGAATTATCTTTTAAATTATCAGTCTGCCAAAATAAGTGCTTGCAGGACTGCTTAAGGTGTCAGGAGCTAAGCAAGGGACAGTGTTACCTGTCCTTGTGCATGTACAAGCAAAGGTGTGTGTCTCCTAAACATGTCCTTGTCAGATAATGTGGGGAACACTTAGCTTTCCCCCATCATCTTCTGTGAAGGAGGAGGGAGAGCTTAGGGAAGAAATCATGTGGGAGAAGAGATAAGCCCTTCATCTCATTCATCACTTCTCTCCTGCAAAAGCTGCTGTCCTCCACCATTAGTGTTGTGAGGAAAACAAGGGGTTGGGAGCCTGGTGTTTGCCTGGTAACGTGGAATTTGTGGGGGCAGCTGTTACATGCTGTGGGTATGCGGGCCATACCATTTCCTCAGTACTACCAGAGACATGAACATACTACAAAAACTGCCCAATGACTTCATTACTTTGAGACTACACATTTTATGTAGTTATTAATGTATTTATTACCCCTAAAATACTTACGTACCACTTTTATATTTAAAAGAAAATAACCAAATCTACTAGTGGTAAACACATAGACAATAAAAAAAATAATAATTACCCAACACTTTCAAACAGCTAGGGCAGGGTTTCCCAAACTTGGGTCTCCAGCTGTTTTTGGACTATAATTCCCACCATCTCTAACCACTGGTCCTGCTAGCTAGGAATGATGGGAGTTGTAGTTCAAAAACAACAGGAGACTCAAGTGTGGGAAACCTTAAGCTAAAAAAACAAAATCCACTTCAAAATATAACAACACTGTTGTTAAAATCAAGTAATAGTGTCCAGGGCCCACAGACATAAACTGGGTTCCTACTGTCTGTTGGAAAGTGGCTAGAGATGGGGCCATGTGGCTCCCCACTGGAAGGGCATAACATAACCAAAGAAGCACAAGATTGTGCTCTGGTCTTATGTTTACCAAAGGCAGGGCTGGCCCAAGACATTTAACCTCCAGGTCACCCTGCCCCCATTATGACAACTCCCACAGATCTGGGTCCTCACCCTGCTCCCTGTCCCTACACTGCTGCCAGCCCCTTCACCGTAATGGTACCTTCGCTTTTGGCCACAATGCAGCAGTGAGGGCGCTGTGGAAGCGGTGAGGGCAATGGGGGAGCGTGGGAAAAGCCTTGGTGGGGGTGGGAGCAGGGAGGGAGAGGACAGGGGGTGGATTCTCTGCCAGAAGCAAATGGCCATACGTTGCCTAATGCACAGACTGCCCCTGACCAGAGGGCACACATCCAAATGTATGCTTTGGGGTTTCACAGGGTTCTATTTATCCCCAGACAGAGAAACTCAGTGGTTTGTATGACCCCATCTGGGAATTTGGAGTGCAGTGTCAGCAGTACAGGGGCAACACTCACTGAATCCAAATGAGGCACAGAAGTGTTAGATCAGTGCCTCGCTGTGATAAAAGACTGGATTGTGGGCAATAAGCTAAGGCAAGACAGAAGTACTGATGCTGAGATTTCATCAGCTGAGAAACTTCTCCACAGGTGGGTGGCTACAAAATACAGGGCCTTTTCAGCAGTGGTCTCTCAACTATAGAGTCCCTGCCTGGTGCCTACTTTAATGTATTTTCAGCATTTTTTTTTATTTTTGCAGGCCTTTTTACATTTTTATTATGCTGTGGTTTAGTATTTTGTATTAGTTTAGCTCTGCGATACATTTCCCTTAGTTGTTTCGTATTATTTGTTTTATTCTGTGCTACAGTATCTTATTCTACTCTTGAGTGATTTGTTTGATCTGGTAATTTTGTTTTTGCTGTGTTGTAATTGTATTGTAGGTCACTGTGATTTTTAATATTATTGTTTATTTCTTGCTATTACCATAGGCAGCTGCATTGCTCTCCCATCTTGTCAGGGCCATGTGTCACTGCCGGGACCAACACAAGGAGGGGAAAGGCAGCAAGGATTGGGCAGCAGCATGGCAGAAAGGAGTTTACGCTTTTGCTTTGTGCTGTTTTTCCACTGTAGATTGGCTTTCTCCAAGGCTCTTGTTTGCCCCTGGAGTTCCTGTTCACATCATATAATAGCAGGCATAGGCAAACTTGGCCTCCCAGATATTTTGGCACTACAACTCCCATCACCCCTAGCTAACAGGACCAGTGGTCGGGGATGATGGGAATTGTAGTCTCAAAACATCTGGAGGACTGAGTTTGCCTATGCCTGTATAATACCTTTGTATCATGCTGAATAGGTTTTTAATGAAGAACTCTACCGAGAAAACACAAGGAATCCCAAGCATGGGATTCAAAGATGCAATGGGTTATATCCAGTATTATTTCTACTCAAAGTAGAGACAGTGTGTCCCATTTCGCTGTTTGAGGCAAAATGGGGCGTACCGCTTTGCTCTGCTGCTGCCACTGCTGCTGCCACCACTTACCAGCTCCTGCCTGCTCTGCTGCAAGAGGAGAAGTGGCAACAACATTGTTGCTGATCTTGGAAAAGGTTATTCCAGATTGGGGTCAGATGAGTCCCAAATCGCTTGAGATATTGCATGCTCCACAATATTTTGCAAGATTTCAGGTACTATCTTTCCCAAAAGTGGTGCCAATGGGAGCGGGGCAAGTGGGGCAGCCACAGGTGTCCTACCTGGGAGGCTTCTGCTACCTGAAGCAGTGACCTTACCTGCTTCATGGCTGGGATGGCTCTGAGTAGACCCATTAAAATAAATGAACTTGGCTAACCTAGGTTAGTTAATGTCAACTGGTCTACTCTGAAAATAACTTAGTTGGGCACAATCCATTTAGAGTCACATCTTCTTTGGTCCTGAGGTGACTACAGAATTGACAGTTCCAGTAGTACAGCTGAACTTACATTCTTGAGGAGAAAGCATCTATCTTCCAGGATAACTGGTCAATATGATTCATGAAAATTCCTTCCTGACTCCAGGTATCTAACACCAAGCATGAAACAAAACCTACCCACTGATTCTCTGCCAAATAATACAGTGGTACCTCGGATTAAGAACTTAATTCATTCTGGAGGTCCGTTCTTAACCTGAAACTGTTCTTAACCTGAGGTACCACTTTAGCTAATGGGGCCTCCCGCTGCCGCCGCACGATTTCTGTTCTCATCCTGAAGCAAAGTTCTTAACCCGAGGTACTATTTCTGGGTTAGCAGAGTCTGTAACCTGAAGCGTCTGTAACCCGAGGTATCACTGTAATAAGAAAGACTATTGTGGCTCCTTGAAGACTAACATACTTATTATGGACTATACTTCCCTACAAGAATGTTTTGAATACACATCTGCCTTATATGTTGACTCAACCATAATATGCCCCTTGGCACCAAAATATCAAATGAGGGGGAAGGAGTTTTTGTGACACAGTCTCGAAATAAATAATCATAAATAATCAAATCATTTTTCTGTGAAGACTATGTCTTGTGAAGACTATTTCAAAATTCTACTTAGATAACTCCCAATTTCTAATTTGCTTTTATGAATGGCTAGTATTTTACACTCATAAGCTATAGCTCCCTCTATCTGGCCAAAACTGCCCTGCAACTTCATAAATCATAAAACAAGTACCAGGAAAGAGGAGATTGTGGATAATCTGCTCAGAACATTTCTTCTGGCTTTATATAAAGCAAATGTTTGAACCAGTAGAGGTTAAAATTACCATCATCTGAGCAAAAATGAATCTAGACACATTCATTAGTCATCCTTAACAACATCTGCCAGTTCAGCAGAGAAGATGACACTAAAAAAAGGGAGAGGTGTGCTAACACATACCCCTGCTTTGTGCTATTAGCACACAAAACATACTTTATGTAACTTTATATACAATTTTATATTTTACAGACAAAATGCATTAAAATATTCAAGAGTGATGTGCAAAATAATTAAAAATATCAAAATGCAGAAAAATAATTAAGACACTTTTTTAAAAAAACCCTTAAAAGCTGAAGCAAAAGAAAGTTGAAAGAATATTATTAACATTTATAAGTGAAGATAGGAGCAAAAAGATAAGGTTGTAAAAGTAAGAAGCATTGAAAATTTAGGTAAACAAATTTAATTTGTCTTCTGAGGTGTGTGTCTTCCTCGTTGCAGAAGAGCATTTCACAAATGGGATACCACCACTGAGAAGGCCTGCTCTGCATTGACCACCGGCCTGACTTCCCCTGGTGGGGGCACCCATAGAAGGGCCTCTGATACAAAACTGAATCCTTGGGCAGGTCTCTAGAGGAGAAGACAGTCCTCCAAGTACACTGGTCCTCAACCATTAGGGTATTAAAGGTTAGAACCAGCTCCCTGCATGGAACACAGAAAGAAACTGGAAGCCAGTATAGATATTATATGGCCAGAATTATGGCTCTCCACATATGTTCACTGTGGAAGAAATTCAACATCACACTATTATGATCATTCTGACAGCACATTTCTGTTTCCAGATCTCCTTCTTCTGAAAAAACTATGGATTGGAGAAATGAAGGGATGAAGCAGGGGGTTAAAGATGAAATATAGACCATGGTCACATAAATTTGAATATTCTGCTGCACAAACTAAGTAATTTTATTTTAAATACTACATGCAAGGAACCTGCCAAAAATCCTACAACCTTTCTTCTTTTCCTGATGGTTGCCTCAGACAACAAGCAAATTTATTCACGCTAGGCACACATTCCACATCCTATTCAGTGGATATCATTAAAATGTCAGCATTTACTAACAGCTTCCACCCAGACACTGAAGTTACTGCACTTTTCCTCCCAGTAAAAATAAGCGTGTCAAAAGCCATTGTGAGATAA